AATACCATTCAGTTCTACATATCATTCATGGGTTCCCCTATTCTCCCCCCTCCAACCCCCTCCCCTTACCCCCAACATGCTATTCTTATTCCTTCTGGAAGCCATGTTGATTCCCCTGCTCCTTGTTACCTCTGGATAATGTCTTGATATTGGTTCCCTTGTGCCTCTGTTAACCAAATTGATGTCCATTATTTAATGACCTACCATGCTCTTAGTACTATTTCTGGAAGCCTTGTTGATGCTTGTGGTCTTTCTTACTGTAGATAGGACATTGATGTCCATATCCATGGAGATATTCTGCTATCTGAGACCCTACTGATGCAAGAGTTCTGTTTTGCCAACGTGATGAATGTTAATTGCTATGATCTCAGCTACCATCTGAAACTGGTGATATTTACATGCTACCACCTGCAACCTTGGTGATGACATGGATACCTGCTGTTCTCTTTATCATGTTGATGATCTTTACTATGCTATTCTTATTGGTTTGAAGTCCATGTGGATGCCTTATGTTACGTTTTGCTCCTGGATAAGGTATTGGTGTTGATGTCCATGTTTTGTAATGCCACCTGAGTCCAAACTGAGGTAAGTATTCTGTGCTGCCCACATGAATAATGTTGATTTTCCTGATCCCACATGCCATCCAGAACTAATTTAATACTCCTGATGCATGCCACTGTAGGAAATCATGTTGATGTCACTGTTCTTTGCTGCATTTTCTAACCATGTTGATGTTCATCATCCAACCTACTATCCAAACTTTGTTGATGTTAGTGATCTATGTTGTAGCTGTTAACCATGTTGAGGTTACTGAACTTTGCTACCACCTGTAACCATATTGATGTCTGCAGTGTACAGTGTCATCAGAAACAGTGTTGAAGTCATTTGTCCATACTGCTACCTTAGACCCAGTTCAAGTAAGTTTCCTGTGTCCCTCATGTGTACAATATTGATTTCTATGATCTGTCTGCCACCTGAAACTAAGTTGATATCCATGATCTATATTGACACAGGCAACCATGTTGATGTCAGTGATTCTTGCTGCCTCTCTTAACCTTGCTGATGTCCATGATTCGAACTGTCATTTGAAACTTTGTTGATGTCACTGATCTTTGCTGTTGCTGTCAACCATGTTGATGCTACTGAAACATGCTTCCACTTGTAACCATACTGCTGTCTCTAGTCTGTTATCATCTGTGACAGTTCTGAAATCAATGGTATATACTACCACCTGAGACCCACTTCAGGTAAGTGTCCTGTGTTGGCACTGTATACAATGTTGATTTCTGTGATTTGTCTGCCACCTGAAACTAAGTTGATGTTTATGATCTGCCACAGGAAACCAACCATGTTGATGTCACTGATCTTTGTTCCCTGTTTTGACCATGTGGATGTCCATTATCTGACTTATCATCTGAAATTATGTTGATATCACTCATTCATGCTGCTGCTTATAACCATGTTTATGGCCATAGTCTTTGTTAGAATCTTAGACCTTGTGAATGTCCATTGTCCATGTTGCCACCTGAGTCCATGATGATGACCATGATGACTTTAGTCTTTGCTGCTGTCAGTCATAATGTCGATGCCTCTGATTGGTGCTTTTACTGGGGACTAGGTCAATATGAATGATCTGAGCTGCCAACAGAAACTATTTTGATATCATTAAGCCATCCTTGGGCTGGAGACCATGTTGAAATCTTTGTCATTGATGCCACCAAATACTATGTTTATGTTCATGCTCTGGGTTGCATGGTCCAGTTGGATATCCATGACCCAGCTGCTGATGAAGACTGTGTCGATGTCTGTGGTCAGTACTGCCACAAGAAGACATCCTGATAGTGATCTGTGATGCCTCCCTCAAACATGTTATGTTGGTGATCTGGGTTGATGTCCTGGACCAGATGGATGGCAGTTATCCATACCGTCACCAGAAATCTTGTGGACCATGATCCGTTCTGCTCCTGGAAACTCTGTAGAAGTCTATGATTCATTCTGCTGCTGGAAACCATGTGTAAGGCCTTGATCTGTACTGCTACTGCCTTCTATGGGCAAGGAACTTCTTTTGCAGTAGTATCAATGACTGTAGAATCATTACTGAAATTCAGATGGACATTGAAGGCTTCTGTGCCACCATCCCTCCAAAAAAGAAAATCTAGACAGGATCTAATTGGAGAGTTCTTGAAAGTTGTAATAAAATTACTTAACTGTAGCTCTTCACAGTTGATGGCTTCAGGCAGGGGTTTGGAAAGAACACCTTTTTAAAGGGCTGGCTACTGCAAGTTTGCCCATGCTCTAATGAGTATAAGGAGAACACCAATTGGACTTGTTATATTGCATTTTTTCTATTCTGAGGGAGGATGCCACAAGGGTGAGAGGGTGGACCTGGGAGGAATGGGAATCAAGTGTGATTGAGGTATGTTGTATGACATTTTCAAATGATTAATAAAATATTAGGTTGGTAAAATAAAAAAAAGTGTGAAATAGTATGTATTTTAAATTTGGCCTACAACTGATTGCTTATTTTAACTATATGACTTGAACCACAGCCTAATTATCTTAGACATTGTTCTCGTGATGTAAAGAGACACCATGATCAAAGCGATTATTACAAGAGAAAGCATTTAATCTGGGGCTTGTTTTCAGTGTCAGAGGTTAAGACCATTATCATCATGGCGGGAAACACGGTGGCATGCCAGCAGACTCTGGAGCAGTAGTTGAAAACTATATCATGATCCATAGGCAGAGAGAGCAAAGACTTTGGACTTGGCATGGGCTTTTGAACCCTCACTGCCCACTCCCAGTGACACATTTCCTCCTAAAAGGCCCCACTTCCTAATTCAAGCATTCAAGTATATGAGCCTATGGAGGCCATTCTTATACAAACCACAACATTATCTTAGAGTACTTTTTAAAAATTTTTTAATTCTTTCAAGAGCTTATACATTTAGACAATATATTTTTATTTTATCTGTTGACCATTTCTTCCATTCAACTCCCTTAGTGGTCCCAGTATGTCATTTTCTCAACTTCATGCATTCTTTTTTTTTAATTAATAACCCTCTGAGTCCAATTAGTGTTGCCCATGTGCCCATATGTCTGAGTCAACCTACTGGAGCATGGACAATCTAACAGAGGCCATTTCTACAAAAGGAGTGACTTTCCCTTTCTCAGAAGCCATCAGTTGCTCATAGCCCCTCCAATGGTTTGCCATTAGACACATCCTTCACAATTCATGTTAGAACTTTAAAGAGTTTGATCTTGAGTAGGTAGACAAAAGTACTCTTAATTGGACTATGCAGCAGTTATGTT